TTTTAAAATGTCCCTTAATTTTTTAAAACAGTTCAAAACATGATCAATTAAAAAACATATCAAAATACTCCTCCGTTTACATCAGTCTATAATCTGACAATATTTGTTAAGGTGACAACCATGAAAAATTAAATAAAGCTATCAAATTGTAATTAAATACATAAAATTGTCAAATATTAATAAATAAAGAATAAATAAAAACAATATTTCAAAAAAAATAAAAAACATTAAAAAAACGTTACTAATAATTTCTCTCTCTGGGTTCGATGCAATTTTTAACACTCATCTTGTTTTTCATTCTTCTCATTATCAATTTTGTTTTTACTTTTGCCCTTGTTTTTATGAATACATCGATCTGGATAGAGACAAGAGGATGTTCCTGTTTGTGTGAGAAAGGAGAGCAAGTTTAGACTTTTGTAGACGAGAACACAGAATTCATAGTCTAAAGAGGGCGATATATGTTGGGTTATACATATAGGTGGACAAGTTCTCAATAGTTACGTTATCATCGTGGTTACCTATTAAATATAAAAATTTGATAACATTATGTGATAAGAATTTAGTTCCATTAATTGTCATAAATTTTTTTAGTCAATTATTCAATTTATTACAATGTTGGATTAATATCTTACCGCTACAAAAATAGTACCCATTGATGGATAAATATAAAAGTAACCATTAAAACCTCACACACACACACATATATACATGTATATAATACATTATATCAGTATATAATGTAGGATTAATTCTACAAATGATTCCTCATAAGATATATAATATAGGGTTAATTCTACAAATGATTCTTCATAAAATCATACACCGGGTTAACTCTACAAATGATTCCTCATAAAATTGTACAGTTCGGTCGGTTCGGTTTTAACACCACCGGCCAACCAAAACTGACAATTCGGTCTGTGCACCACCAGCAATCGAAACCACCTGATGAGGAAAGGGTAACCGAAACTAAAACCACCAAAAATGGTCGGTTTCAGCTCGGTTTAATCGTCAATTTTAACATTTAATGTTTAAACTTTTTTTTTTTTGAATTTTTTAAATCAAATTCAAAATAGAGAAAACTTAAAGCCTAAACCTTATAAGGCCATTGCGTTAAAGCTCAAGTTGATAGGCGAGAGTCAGTTGGAATACTGATAGAGTTTTTATAGAGGGGAGTGAAGGTGAAAGTTGATTCATTTTCGATGTGGGACTCTAACATATGCTAGTGGTTTGAGTTTCAAAACACGTGAAATGTAATAAATATTTTCGAGTTACGAAAATATCACACCAGTTGGCCTGCTGGAGTGGCATGCCATGGGACCAAGGTTGGATCCCCCACTACTGTAAAATTCCTATTTTTAAGTATAAGGAAACAATCGGTTCGGTTAGAACCTAACCTGCTGAATCCAAAACCAAAACTGAAACCAAATCGGTTTGGTTCGGTTTGAAATATGGCCAGTTTTGGTCAGTTTGTTTAGTTGAGTCGGTTAGGTCGTTTTTTTGAACACCTATAGTTCCTGATATTTATCCACAATCCCACTTTCGCTTGTGAACTTTAAAATGTCTCAAAATTCCTTTTTTGTGTATAAAAAGCACTCGGTTCGGTTCGGTTAGAACCGAACCTGTTGAATCCAAAACTGAAACCGAACTGATCTTGATCGCATTTGTTCAGTCCGATTCAATTTCAATAGCGGTTTTGTTTGGTTCAGTTTAAAATACGGTCGGTTTATCCTCAATCCCACTTTGGTTCGTGAACTTTAGAATGTCTCACAGTTAGTCCATGAGGTTTTACTCTATTTTAGATTCGGTCTTTTCATTAACTACGTGTTAAATATTTGATAAAATCTGTGTAAATTAAGTATCAAAATTAGAAGCAGCTAAAATTTAGATATTGTATATAGAAATTAACTTTTTTGTATTATTTTAACCCTGAACTTGAGACATTTCCAATTTTGGTCCTTAATTTCTACAAAATTCGTCAAATATTTAACACCTAGTTAACGGAATGACCAAAACTAAAACATAATAAAATCTTAAGAACCAACTATGGGAAGTTTTAAATGTTAAAGACTATGTGTAGGATTAATCTCTGTGTGTTTATATATATATATATATGTTTTGGGCTATATAGATCAGACAGTTGTGGTTATTGATGATTTTTTATTGGATTGGTTGTTAACGAGGGAGGTAGTGGGCTTGTGAGGTTGTTTTAGGGATGGCAATTTTACCCATTAACCTATTTATTCATGGACACCCGCATTGAACGAGGCAGTAAAAATTCACTTTAAATGGATCCGTGAACGGGTTAAAATTTTAACCCGTTACGGGGTGGAGACAGATTTAGAGGTCCCCATTTACCCCCCTTATTTAATTATATCCTATTTTTAAATTAGACATATTATGTATAGGAAAATTGTAAGAAATAAGCCAAATTTTAAAAGTTATGGAGGTAAATAGGCCAATTACCAAATTATGAAAATTAATAGGTCATTTTGTATTCTAATTTTTCATTTTCAAATTTACCCTTTTCTTTTATGGATCATAACATGTCAGACTAGGACTAGCGCCGGTGACTAGAGGCTAGCGGCTAGCGTAATCTATCAGGTTATGGATCATAACCTGATAGACTATGGCCGGCACTGGCGACCAACGAACCGCGTAATCTATTAGGTTATGGATCATATCTTGATAAACTATGGCTGACGCCGATGTAATCTGTCAAGAATGGATCACAACTCGATAGATTATGACCGGTGTAATCTGTCAGGTTATAGATCACAACTTGTCAAGTTATGGCCGACGGCTGGTGTAATCTGTCAGGTTATGGATCATAACCTGTCAAGTTATGGCCGGCGGCCCGTATAACCTGTCAAGTTATGGCCATTGTCAGGTGTAATATAAGTGTCAGCTTCTTTATTATTTTTTCCTTTTACATTGAATCTTCTCTCTTTCTCTCTCTAGTCTTCGTCTTCTCTCTCTCCGGTCTCTCCCTGTCACTCTCTCTCTCTTGAACTCCCTTCCCTCCGACGACCTTTTCTCTCCCTTGCTCTCTCTCTCCTCCGGTTCTCTCGTCTCTCTCTGATATCTCCTCCATCGACCTCTCTCTAACTCTCCATGCGACTTGGGACGAAGCTTCTCGCCGTTGAAGATCTAGACGCTCTCTCATCGGGACAATCTTTGTCACGAAGGATGGCGCGGTCGAAGTGGATGATAAGTGGTAGGATCGACGATGCAACAGCTGGTGATGACGGAATCGCTAATGGAGAAGACGAACCCGTAGATTGGAGAAGACGAGCTCGATACTTTTCGTCATCATGAGGCCATCGGTCGTCGATCGCCGTTGTGAGGATTCATGGTCATGAGGCATCATGGTGCAGATCCGTAGTTGAAGAGATAGAAGGGAAGAGAGAGTGAGAGAGTAAGAGAGGGGAAAGAGAGAGAGAAAACATGGGCTAGTTTTTCAAAGAGAGAGAGAGGGAGAGGGAGTAGAGAAAAGAGAATGAGTGTTAGTATTTGTTTTGGCACGAGAAGGAAATAATAAAAGGTGTGAACATGCTGTACTTAATTAAGGGTAGTTTCGTAATTTTATTCAGGTGTAAATCTGAATTTACACTTAAATGGCCTATTAATTTTAATTCCCCTCTTAATTTGGCCTATTTCCCCTTATGTATAGTATGCTATAATATATATAATAAAAGGTGTGAACATGCTGTACTTAATTAAGGGTAGTTTCGTAATTTTATTCAGGTGTAAATCTGAATTTACACTTAAATGGCCTATTAATTTTAATTCCCCTCTTAATTTGGCCTATTTCCCCTTATGTATAGTATGCTATAATATATAAGTATAATCTATTACATAATATATATATATATGAAAATTTAAAAGTACTTCTCTTTTATTTTTAAGGTAATGTTTTGTATGTTTGTATTTATTTATTTTGCAATTAAAATAACTAATTGGGTAAACGAGGCACCCCGAATATTCTGAACCCGTGATAGGAAAATCCGTCCCGTAATGTGTCAACTTATGCGGGTTCATGAGGCTAATATGGTGAGTGTTTTTATTCGCGGGGCGGATTGGCGAGAAGACTACCCCGCCCCAAATCCACCATGTTCCGTAGGCTGTTTGGCTGGGTTCGTGTAGGAGGCGGTGAGCCTGTGACGCTATTGGGCTGGGATTGCAAGGGTAGCGGCGCAATTGTTACACGGCAAGCGTGGTTCGTTGTGTCTTGTTGGGTCACAACGAGGCTCGTGTAAAGCAGCACTGCGAGAGCGGCACAAGCCTAGCTAGAACGCCCTTCGGCCACTCATCCCCTCCCACGCGACACGCTTTTAAGCCCACTCACCCCACGATGCTACATTATTGGGGAAGAAAAATGTTCTTTCAGAAGTTTCTCTAAATCTGTGTTCTTCATCTTATGTGGTTTTTTGTTATTTATTTTTGTTTGTTTGTTTTTTTAACTTTTGTTTTGTTTGTTCTTTTAACTTTTGTTTTGCTTGTTCTTTTATTTGTTTCTAAATTTTATTGATTTTGTGTGATTTCATATTAAGGCTTATTGGTTTTTCTATTAATAATTAGAGTTTATATTTTAAGAAGGGGGATGGTTTAGAGAATCCCCTTGTCTTAGCCTCAGTTGCGGGAAAATAGAACCATGTTTGTTCTAATGTTCTCCATTCATAAGAATTGAAAGAGACTGTAGATAGGCACCTCAGAATCAAGGAAACACGTCATTGGACCCCACCCCATTTGATCATCACGCTGATGAAAAAACAAAAGTGAGATCAATAATCCATTTTGGTGAAAGCATAATTTTGCAGCTCAAGCAATAGTACAATCTGTGCCTTAAAAAGAAACACGAAAGAGTTATACATGCCTCATAAAAAGGATCAAACAGCAGCATAAAAATCATGTGAAGATTTGGATAAGCAACATAAAACAACCACATTCACACAAATGAAGAGCAAACTTACGTAAAATGTAAGAAAAGCATGATTTCAACTAAACTTCAGGTACATTATCCAGGATAGAATACATTTATGCTTCCGGGCAGTTTGGCACTATAGCAAGAACTATACTGTATTATAACAGAGTTAGCCTCATCTACAGACTAAAAATAGCATGTACCTCTAACTAACTGAGCTTTCTGCTACGATTGCCCGGGTTAGATATATATATATATATATATATATATATGGGTCTCCCAGACATGCACTTGTGTTCACAAGGACGACAAACATGCGAAAAACTTGACCATAACCAAAATTGTTAGTAGTTCTTCACCATCAATCTGGTCAAAACTATTACACTTCTGGTTACAGACAAATGCTTCAGCCAAAACCTATAGCCCTTCCCACAAATTTCAATATAGCATTTCCCACATTAGAATCACCATCACAACGACAAACAGGTCGACCGAAAAAGAAAAGAGAGAAAAAAAAATTTCCATTGAATCTTAAACAAAAATATATATTTTCTGAGACAAAATTAGAGAAACCCCAGATGTGGGACACTAATCCCAAGCACTGCTCACTCCCGGACCATAACCACCACCACTACCGTAACCACCATAACCACCAGGAACCCCGTATCCGCCAGCATTTGCTCCACCATAGTAATCTTGGCCCCTGTTGTAGGAGCCGTCCCTCCTAAAATCACGACCTCCAAAGCGACCTCCCCCAGATCGGCGGTTCCTACCACCACCACCACCACCACCACCACCATAAGCCCTTGATGCATAACGACTAAGCCAAGCAGGCACTTCCTGATTTGCTTCTTGCATCAGATCACTGAGAGGCCTCGCCAATGATAAATTATTCTCGTTAAAGAATGCTGTTGCCAGTCCCGTTTTCCCAGCTCGGCCTGTACGACCAATCCTATGAACATAATCATCAATGTCGTTGGGGAGATCAAAGTTTATTACATGAGCAACATGGGGAATATCAAGACCACGTGCTGCCACATCCGTTGCCACTAAAATTGGTGTTTTCCCGCTCTTGAAAGATCTCAATGCATATTCTCTTTCCTGCATGTAAATAGTATGTTCATATAAATTACTAAAGCTATGGTAACAATCTGCAGAGTCACTCTACACCAGAGATTGCATGAAAAGTCTACAGGCATCCTAAGGACTAATGAATATCTTATGACCGTGATTAGATCAGCCACTGGACTTCACAACCAAATATTCATTTAAAACTTGAAAATTCCAAAAAAGAAAAAAAAACAAAAAACAAAAAGACAAAAAAAAAAAAACAAAACAGAGAGAGAGAGAGAGAGGGGGGCACGCACACACCCACCCACCCACAAAGCACAAAACAGAGAGAGAGAGAGAGGGGGGCACGCACACACCCACCCACCCACAAAGCAGCAGCACCTCATGACAAGTCTAATAATGAAACACAAGCATAAATTCTCAAATCAAACAACTAATGCTTATCACTTCAAAAATTCCAGCTAATACACATAATCAATGCACAAATATCACACAAAAAGGAGAAGGAATTATAAATTCTGTCTGATTGAAAAGTTTGATCCTTACTAACCTGTTGGGATCTGTCACCATGAATACTAGTAGCAGGAAAACCAGAACTAGTCAACCAGTATTCCAACGAGTCAGCTCCTTTCTTTGTCTCCACAAAAACTAATGTCAATGCTTGCTGCAAATCCAAGATGCAAATAGTGAATACGGTGCAAATTAAATATATACACGCAATAGATATTTAATTTAATATGGTAGAAAAAATGTAAATATACACAAAATAGATACAAATGTAAGTCAGAAACGCTGGAAAAAATTATTAGTTTTAAATCTAGTAGAACGACTAGTCTTATGTAGTTGTAAATTATTAGTTTTAAATCTACTAGAATGACTAGTCTTATGTAGTTGTATGGTGATCTCATTACTTTGGGCAGTTTTGGTTTGAACAGAAAGAAAGTCAAGGAACTTTAAATAAAAGGAAATAAAAGTGAATGGCAAAATTTTCAGCTTCTTTTCCATTTTCTTGATTGTTCTAGATTGAACAGATGTTCTGGCTTAGGGTCAGACTGTTTTTGTGCAGTTTTATACCTTCACTTCTTTTCGTCTTATAGTTTTGTCTCCTTTTTGTGTTTGCTTCATGAGGACTTCTTATCCTCTACCTTTCTAATTGATTTTCATCAATGAAAGGATGTTATCTTACCACATAAATAAATAATTGAATAATATTTGTAGAATACTCGGTGATTAAAATTGCGCAATGGGAGGCGCGCCTCGCTGGAAAATCGCGTTAAGGCGTGTGCCTCACAGAGTAAGAAAGAGGCATACGCCTCTTTGTAAGTGAATTGGAGTTTCAAGGACGCCTCAAGGCGGTGGCCTTCACTTTTTTCACTATTTGGAGCTGAAATTAATATGAAGGCTCAAGCCCAAATTCATAAGCAGCCCAATAAAAAACAAAAACCTAGAGAATTCTAGAAGAATAACGTTGCTATGACCAAGAGGCAAAGGTGCAGACTTAAAACAAACCCCTAGATTGCTAAAAATAAGAGGGAGAAAAGAAAAATCAAGAATAATTTTTTAAGATTTAATCATTTTTGTAGAGTGTTAATATAATTTCTTATGATGTTAGATATGATTTATAACTTTTACTTTAAATTGCTTGATTTTTCATATTTTTTAATTCTTTTATGGTTTATTTCGAGGCTTACGCCGCAAAACGCCTTGAGGCTAAAGCTTCACCTCACAAAGACAAAACTCCTCAGTACCCAAGTGCGCAATTTTTAACCTTAAGGATACTACACTTTAACAACAAATAAATACTTGTGATAGAAAGTACATTTAAAACGAAGTTCATGCATATTATTGGCTGATCAGAAGTTTAGTAGCAAATTACATTGCAAAGGATACGCATTTTTGAACTAAACTAGATGTACAAATTGTCTGAAATTACCTTGCCCTGGGCTGTAGTTTCCTTCTGTGCATGAAGAAGGTCCATCAGATGACTTCTCTTGTCAGCTTCATGAACAAATTCAACTCTTTGCACAATTAGATCGGTACTTGAACCCACTCTTCCAACAGCTAAGAATATGTACTCTGAAAGAAAATCAGATGCCATTCTCTGCACAGCAATCAGAGTGAAAGATCGTCAGATAGATACAACTTGGTATTCCTCTATTCCAAAAATTCCCACCGCCTAAACATAGACAAGAACAACAGAAAATAATAGTAATCTATGCCAGGAGTATATTTGACATAAAAAACAGCAGACTAGGCATCATAACATTGACCTAAAGACGCCAAAAAACTCCCAAGATGAAATTTCAGTAATCTAGAAATTACCCAAAAGTTCAAAATATCATTTTTATTAAAAGACCACAAAATCCTTATGATGCATCATCAAGCCCCAAATTGAATGTTCATAAAACTACCTAGAATGTTGACAAAAAAAGAGGGGAAAATCCAAGCAAACAATAGAGACAAACCTGTATCTCCTTAGGAAAGGTAGCGCTAAACAGCATTGTTTGTCGCGCACCTGCTGGAGGCATGTCCATCTGCTCCACTATTTTTCTGATCTGAGGTTCAAAACCCATGTCTAGCATTCTATCTGCCTCATCAAGTGCCAAATACCTGATCATCTGGAGCGACACCCTAGCTCTCTCAAGCAAGTCAACCAATCTTCCAGGAGTTGCCACAAGAATATCAACTCCTCTCTCAAGCTCTCGCAACTAAAGGAATTAAAAGGAATATTAACCACAAGAAGTATAATCCTACGAATGTTCACCTTCAAAGTAGCATGAGATTTAATTTATAAAAATCTTGACGGGGGAAAACACAGTTTACTATTTAACATAACATTTGAAAGAACAGAAACAGCTAATCAAGCATCTACAAGAAGGGTAAAGTAGTATAAACAATAAGAAATTGATAGGCAGTAACAGTATAAACTCTACGAGCAAAGTAGTTGGCACTTGGAGAGGAGACAGTAACAAATTGATCTTTACTGCAGAGAGAAACAACCAATATACCAAAAACAACGTTGTCAAAACAATAAAAACCTGTTGATTTATTGGTGCTCCTCCATAAGCAACAACCACTCTGACACCGGTTTGATACGAAAACTTTCTAGCTTCATCATGTATCTGCAGTTGAACCACAACAAACAACAATGTTGCATGTTAAACTAGCAAGGGCTCTACAAAGGCAAATCATTTAAGTATCAACTCAAAATCCCAATTCCCACCTGGCTAGATAGCTCCCTTGTAGGAGAGAGAATAAGAGCAAGAGGAAACACAGTTCGTGTTCCACGAGGCCTCTGCACATTCTGCCCCCGCATTATTCCACTTATGATCGGGAAGCAAAATGCAGCTGTCTTTCCCGACCCAGTCTGAGCACAAGCCATCAGATCCCGTCCGGCAAGAGAAATTGGTATCGCATGTCGCTGAACGGGAGTTGGTTTCAAATACTTGCACCTCCTGATGTTTTGATTCAGCTCCTCACCCAAATCAATCTCTGCAAAGGTATTCACAGGTGGTGGCACATTATTCCCACTTGTCTCCACCGGAATATCCTCATAAGCATCAAAGTTAATGCCTGTGTTCTCTTGCTCGCTAAACGAAGGCTCTGCGCCATCATCATTCTCAAATGGGTTCTCCTCACGATCCCTTCCACGGTCCCAACCCTTGCTTCTGCTGCTCCAGCCACCACCAGAAACATATCCAGAACGCCCAAAATCCGGCCTAGAACCACCATTCCAGCGAGACCCGGAAGAGGGTCCGCCATACCCTGCACGGTCACCAGGGACCGAGTTTGATGGAGCAGGAGGATCCGACGAGGGCGGCCTGTTACGAAGATGCGGCGGCACATAGGACGATCTTGCAGGGCGAGATGCGGCAGTGTTACCAGCAGCTACATTCTCAGATTGAGAATTGGCTACAGAATCTGCCCATGAAGTACTCATCATTCCAAAAATCTGACCCTTCTTTTCCCAACAATTGCTTTGCAAAATTTTGAAACCAAAATCCTAATGCACCACAAACACAAAAGCAAAATTGGACCTTCAATGAAAAATTCCCCTTTACGCCTTTGCACTATACAAAACTCGCAGATCAAAACCCTGATAGAAAATCATACAACTGCATCAAAATCTACAAAAATAAAATAAAAAATAAAACTCAAAATAATCACGAGCAAAAGATCTTGTAATCTTAACAACAATAAAAAATAATAAAAAAACTGTCAAAGCAAGTAATAATTGAGCCAAAAATTAAAAAAAAAAAAAAAATATATATATATATATATGATTCAAGCAAAACCTAAAATAATTATAAAAGCAAAACAGATCATAGTAAAATCAAATCAATACATAGTGCAAATCAATGAAGAAAACTAAACAAAAATAAGCGAAACGGAGGAGAAGTGAGAGAAAGAGCATGCAATAAAACGGCGTTCTGATAAATGCAAAGCCCTAATCTGCTCCAAAACCTAGATTACAGAGAGAAGAAAAACACACAAAAAACAAAACAAAAAAACAAAAAGCAAAAAAAAAAAGAGTTAGAAAGAGGAAAAAAGACGAACCTCGAGAGAATGAGAAGCCGAGAAGAAAGCGCGAACTGGATAAAGAAGCGAAACCCTAGAATTCAGCAAACCCTATCTTTCTGAGCGAGAAAGGAGAAATCCGGATCGGACGACGGAGTCAGAGTAGGTAAAACCAAAAAAATTATCGCTTAGGTTTTTATTTTCCTTTCTATTTCAACGAGATCTCTGGGTTTTTTTTTTCTCTGGTATTTTGAGATTTCTTACCCTTTTCAAATGGTATCAAAACTTTTTCCTCTTATTTTCTTCCCAACCAAACATATAATAGAGAGAAAGAGATTATGAAAAGAAAAAATACAAAAAATATCTGAAAAGCAACGGCGTACATAACATTGGGATGTTGCCGTGAATAAATTAGGTGGTTCGAAATTCCAATTAAAACCGACTAAACCAAAAATATCCTTTTGACCCTTTTGACGTGGAGTGTTTTGATTGGTAGATATTGTTCCTTAGCGTGTACCTTTGCGCATGGGACAATTAGGTTAACTTTTCACAAATAATCTTTCCTTTCGTTTGTCGCCGCCGCCGATTCTGAACGGATCTCTCCCCTCTCTCTCTCCGCCAGTGTTTCGCTCCCGTTAGATCGTTCTCACTCAAAGACTGTCGTTTGTTTTTTTTTTTTATGTGAGTGGGTGAATATATTATCGGGTGATTTTTCTGTTAGGCATTAAAAAGTTGAATTACTGAAAAAGATTCTATTTTTAACTTTTAAATTTATATCAAAAATTATTTATTTTGTATTATTCTTTAAATTCTTTATTCTGTATTATTCTTTCACTTGATATGATCACATCAAACGATTAAAAATTGGACTCCATTGATATGGACGTTCCACCAAGAAAAAAAAAAAACTAAGGATTTGGCTCGCTCATGATGAGATGATGTCGTTTAGCAGAAAACGACATTTCCTTTGATAAAACGACACCAAATATGATGTCATTTGTTGTATGCCACCCACTTTAACGACAAAAGTTATGATTTGTCTTAGTAAATTTAGTGAGAAAATTATTACGAAAAAATCTTCCATTTAAAAAAAACGAAATAGAATCTTTCATTAACCATTAGACCTTGGGATTGATGGAAGGCAATAAGAACGAATTATGGTAAAAAAAAAAAAAAAAATATATATATATATATATAAACTCATAAAATGCTAATTTCTATAAATATACTTTGTTCTACAATATTCCCTAAGAAAATACAGACACTTTTTTTTTCTATTTTTCACACACATTCTTAAACCACCTATCATTCTACTTGTTACACATTTCTTAAAATTTTAAAAAAACCCTTACAAGTAAATTATCCACATTTTACTTTTTATATACACGTTCTTGAACCACCTCCAATTCAACTTTAGAATTTAATTATTACTTGTTACACCTCTTTTATTATTTCCAAAAAAATCCGCACAACTAAATTGTTATTTTTATCTTTTTTCACTCACTAACTAATAGGCAATCTTCATTTTTTTCAAAACACTCTCTTTTTTTTATGGGGTTTGTTTTCTCCTATGTTACTTCTTCTTCCTTTTCTTCTTTTTCGTGAAAAATCCCGTGTTTCTTACAATGATTTTTTTCTTTTTTAGAAATTTCTTACAACAAATTTAAAACATTTAACTTAATGAGTTAGAACACTAATTGAATAATGTCACGTCTCCAAACCGGGATTAGTGACGTGGAGGCTTGTTTAGAAACTTAAACCTGTTTGAGAGAGTGATTAGCACATAATGTTGTAAATATTTTAATTTTTTAAATCTAAAACATCCAAGTATTTTCAAACAAGCCCCCTACATTCAGGAGAAATTTAATTTCAAGAAGGGTGGTGGAATTTTCAACCAAACTAGTTTAAAACCACGTCCCCAGTATCAAGTCAAGAATTCCCCACAGGTGTGTTAGCATACATGAATATAAACAAAAGTAAATGTGACATCAACCACAGTTTAAGAATATTTAAGTTTACAATCCATAATCTTTTATACATGCCTTGAGATAAAAGATAAAATGAAAGACAACTCTTCACTTTCCGAGGTCAAGTCCACGTCACCGGTAGTAGCTACCTACTCCGCACTACTCCTCGCGTCGCCTGGAGGGGTTTAATACATTTGAAACAAAAAAGGTGAGCGAAAGGCCTAGTAGGATATAATTTTATAAAGCATTTAAAATAAAAGTACTCACAGTCCGAAGATATACACCCGAAACCGGTCATCCCTTTTTAGAAAAGGAAATACTCACATAGTAGAAAATGGATGTATCATGAAAGTGTGTAGCTCATCATACCACTAAACAAGAAGCGGTAAAAATGTCTGTCTATGAAAAGTGCAGAGCCATTGTTCCACTAAACAAGAAGTGGATCCGTACGGGTTTCGGGACCTGCCCCCAAGGATGCGATTCCCACATCCCGATCTCTGAGGCCACCATGTGTTGTATCATTCCTTAAAATATTTCATTTTAAGAAATGATACTCTTTAAAATCTCATTTTCAAAATCATTGGAAAACTTAATAGCATTCTCATGCTATTCCTTTGAAATCATTTTCTTTAAACATGTTTTGTTCTAAAATATTTTTATTGGCCAAAATCATTTAAAATGAGGCTAACAAGGATATGGACAAGAATATTCTACCTTTCGAATGTCAAACATGTGGCTATCTTCACGTAGCCCTAGCTCCGCTTGCCTTCGAGGCTCCAATTCCAATCGTGCCACTAACTTTCTCATCAAAATCAACAATTTAGAGTTTGATCTTTCTCACTAAATATTATCGTTTAATTAGATGCAATTGTATCATATTAGTGTACCATAGTTCAAAATCAATGTTCATAAATAATTCTTAATTCAAATCATGATTCTTTGACAATGGAGATTTATTCCGGAGAATCGAATGGAAAACAAGGATTCATGTGGCTAATCCACTTATTTTGAGTTCTCAAATGAGGTTAGGTCAATCTCACATCAAATTTCGTGGTTAAAACAGGGTTTTGGGTTGTTTAGGGTTGGGTTCAGTGGGAACTGGTCAACCGGTGACAGAGGAGGGTAACTCCACCGGTCGGCCGGTGGAGGGGTGACCGGTCGACCGGACCGGTCAACCTGTTAAAGGGTGACCGGTCGACTGGTGGGGAAAAATCCCAGGGCCAGCCACAGCCGATTCGTGAGGAACAAAGCCAAAACCTGCAAATTTTGGGTTCGATTTCGACATATTCTCAAGGAAAATGTATAGATCCAGGTTCCAATCAACAAATAGGGTTCAAAGAATCAAAAACCCTCAAATTCTATCAAGATTTCATCAAAATGCATTCGAAAATGAAATTTAAACAACAAATCACCAAACTCGACTAAAACGAGTTCCATAAGTCTAAATCCGAGAATCTAAAGTAAGTTTCAAAGAGTTTTACCTCGATCCAAGCTTTGATGTTGAAAATCTATTAAAAATCTTCATTTTTCTTCAAATCCGGTTCAAGAATGTTCTTGAGAGAGAGAGAAAACTTGAAAGAAATAGAGAGGAAGAGATGGGCGAGAGAGAGAGAGAGAGAGAGAGAGAGCTCGGTGAGGGAGAGAGAGACTAAGAGAGAGTGTGAGTGAGTGAGAGGGTTACGGGAGAGGAGGGAAAAGAAAAGAAAGAAAGAAAAGAAAAGAAGAAAAGGAAAATAAAATGAGGAAAATAATAAGGAAAGACAAATAAAAGTAAAGAAGGGTGAAACTGCAATTACTAAAAATAAATTTAAAAATTCATGATTAATTAAGAAAATCAATTCAGGCATACTAATAAATCACAATTATTATATTTAAACAAGTTTAATTCCGGATGACGTTACAAATAATTCACGTAATTTCTTTATGAAGTACTAAACTTCCTCACAACAAAGCGAAATCACACGTTTTCTCATGAAGAAGCAAATATAAATAAATAAATAAATATATATATATGTTTTATGTAACTTCTATTTTCTCCTGCATCTATTGCAGATTATATATATATATAGATATATTGTGAAATCGTGTTTTTTTTTTATAAATGTTATAATCATGTTTTTTTTAGAAGGCAACATTATGGTGGAGTGTATAATAAAGTGTGTGAAAAGTAAAAACAGAGGTGTTAATAGACAACAACAACAACAAAAAAAAACTCTTTTCTTTTCTTTAAACGACTTGAATAAGGAAAATAGTACAATACTGTGAGTTGTTTTCCGTTATTGATCGTTGGATCTGTTTTTAATGGTTATAGTTGAGATTTTAATAGATGCATTAAAATAAGTATAAGATAAAATCAGGCAGTATAACACTTTTAAGGCAAAAAAAAAAAAAGAGCTTTCCTGCGCTGGAGAGAGAGAGAGAGGGGGTCGCGATGGAGTTCGGGTTCACCGAAGAGGGTGGGTGGAGTTGCAATATGATTCTGTCGTTGGAGAGGGAGAGTGACCCCTCTGCGTGATGGCGGCCGTCGATTGCAACAAATGATGGAGAATCGTGGGTTCTCGATAGCTTGTGAGGCGTTTTTCGGTAAGGTCTAGCGGCGGGGCCATTGTCTTTTGGTGAGGGTCGTGTCGTCAGACGCGCGTTGATGCGTGGCCGGCGGCGAGAGATTTATTGTGTATTTTGACCAGACTTTTTTCTTTTTTTTAAACTATTTTTGGTTTTTTTAATTTTTAATTAGATGAGAAAATATTATTATTGAATGTGGTTTTTTATTTTTTATGGAGACATGATCTGAAGCCATTAATATTTAATCGCCGGTTTAAAAGAATAGGTATCAATACGTAAGTACCACATCCATTCCCAAAAAATAAATATCCCCTTCTCGCTCTTTTAAAAGATAATTTTCTCTTCTAATTTTAAATTTTTAACCATGAATATTGATGGTAATGGTATTGTTGGTTTAAGGATTTTTATTTTTGGCATAAAATCGTTCGTTTCCTGCTTGCACGATCCAAAATAGTCCTATGAAGTACAAAACTGAAAAATATGATATATACATACATATACATATGTATATATTTGTATAGACGAATTGTTAACTATACAAATTGTTAATGGTTACGTTTTCTTACGTTTTCATTTATGTTACTATTAAATATAAAAGTGATAAGAATTTAATTATATTAATTATCTTTTTAATTAACTAAATAATTTATTATAACTATGAGATTAATATTTGACAATTAAAATAATAATATGTATTAATAATAAATATTAAATTAACTTTTAAAATTACACCCATATTTGTATTTGTATATATTTCTCTAAATAGTGAAGCATTTTCTAGGATTTGAACGCTAGAATATTCTTAAAAACAC